CCAGCTTTGGGCTGGTCCAACCCTTGCTGTTTTAGGTATTTGGGGCATAAACCAATGAATGGGAGGTCTCTCTCTCTCTCTCTCTCTCTCTCTTTCTCTGCCTCTCAAATAAATAAAATAAACTTCTTAAAAATAAAACAGATATAAATACTGTTAGCCCTTTGTAACTTCAGGTTCCACATCCATGGATTCAACCAAACATGAACCAAAAATATTTGGAAAAAGTATTATGACTATATTGAACATGCATAAATTTGTCATTTATTCCTAAATAATAAATTATAGCATTTATATTTTATTAGATATTATAAGTAATTTGGAATACAGTGTGTTGTACTTATGAAATTTGTACTCATTAAATAAAAGGTTTCTATGGGAATAAATAAAATCTATTTTCATGATTTTTGCCTGTTGAAAAAAATAAGTAATCTGGAGATGATCTAAAGTATATTGGAGGATGTGCATAGACTCTATGCAAATACTACACCAGTTTATATGTGAAACTTGGGCATCCATGGATTTTGGTATCTCTGGGGAGGTCCTGGAACCAATCTCCTACAGATACTAAGTGATTAATATACTATCAGACTCATAAGCAGTAAGTTGATGGTAGATTCCACAGAAATGCCGTTATGTGTCTTATTTGGAGATTCACATTTTGGACAGATCCTGAGATGTACACACGTATGACAACTGAATGGGGCTGCTCAATAGAAAATTGTTTGGCATTTTGGAAATAAAATATTGTAATTTGTTTTTTCTACAACAGAATCTGGGATTTGTTTAATTGGAAACTTGTACTATATTACCATATGTAATTTTATGTGTCAAGTCCCAGAAAGACTGATGTTGGGAACTTTCTTCAATTAAAACACAATTTATTCACATTTACTATGACAAGATTCCTGTAATTTCCACCATAAATAAGACAGAGATCCTGTTTACCTCCTCTCTAAATTGCATTCCCAAGAGCAAAGATCTGGAGCATGAAAGAGAGAGCAAGCGTGAGATTGAGAGAGAGGGAGGGAGGAAGAGAGGAAGAGAGAGAAAGGAGGGAGCGGCACCTCCCATCCATTGGTTTACTCCTCAGTAGATTCATCCACACACGGACCTACCCTAGCTCTGCATTCTTCCCTCAACAAGACCTTTGGTAGGTTTCCCATCTGGGCCATTTCTTTGGTTCCTCATGGATAGTCCAAAGAGTGTTTTATCAGACTCTTCAGTTGCTTGCTTTAGGATGAGGAAGCTCATGTTAGGGTGGAGAAAAATAACAGAACAAGTATCTGCTTTGATTTTGTGACAAAGGTGGGGAGAGAATACATTCTGCATACTGCCTTTAAGGCCACATACCCTTTAATGGAGCAGATGCAAATGCTATCAAGTTTTAACAATGCATCTTGGAAATGTTCACTTATGCTGCACAATTTACAAGCATGTGATACCTCTATGAATAATTCTGAATTTTTAGGAAATAGCAGCAACCACATAGGTAAGTAACCTTACAAATGTGAAGAATTACAGTGAGAATCCGCTTTGTGCCAATACTGTGGGACCCAGTTCTGCCAGTTCTATTTTGTAATCTTTTTCAATAGAATTCTTTCCTTTTCACTCAGAAAGTTGCTCCCTCCCCATTGTTCCTGGTTTCCCTATCTCTGTGTAAATCCTCATTCTTTAACCAACAACTGGGTACTTAATGTCTTTTTAAAATTGTGGTAAAATACATGTAATTCAAAATTTACCATCTTAGAATTTGAAGTGTACAACTCAGTGACATTAAGGTATCAAACATATTCACAGGGTTGTGCAACCATCACCATCATAAATCTCTAGAACTCTTTTCATCTTTCAAAACTGAAAATCTGTACCCATTAAATAACAATGCCCTATGCCTCCCTCTACAGTTCTTGAAAACTACTGTTCTACTTTCTGTCTCTATGAACTCTAGATACTATGACTCTAGATACTTTATATATATAATTATGCAATATTCTTTTTGTGACTGGCTTATTTCTCAGAATAGTATCTTTTTTTAAAGATTTATTTATTTATTTAAAAGGCAGAGTTACAGTGAGGCAGAGAGGAGAGAGAGGTCTTCCATTCGCTAGTTCACTCCTCAGATGACCACAATGGCTGGAGCTGTGCCATTCTGAGCCAGGAGCTGGGAGCTTCTTCCAGTTTCCCAAGTGGGTACAGGGGCCCAAGAACTTGAACCATCTTCTGCTTTTCCAGGCCATAGCAGAGAGCTAGATAGGAAGTTGGGCAGTCAGGATGCGAAATGGCAGCCACATGGGCAGCTGGCACTGCAGGTGGCGGCTTTACCCGCTATGCCATAGTGCCAGCCCCCAGAACAGTGTCTTTAATATCCATATACATTGTAGTATGGGTCAGAATTTCATTCCTTCTGAAGTGTAGGTAATATTCCATTGTAAAGATATATCATATTTTATTTACCTATGCATCTGTTGACACTGAAGTTGTTTCTATCTTTTAGCTGTTGTGAATAATAGTGATGTGGACATGGGTGGACAAGTAGCTGTTTGAATCCCTGCTTTTAATTCTTTTGGGTGGGAGTGGTATTTCCTGGTTTGGATTTTGATTTGCATTTCCCTAATGACTAGTAATGTCAAGCATCTTTTCGCATGTTTACTAATCATTTATATATATTATGGGACAGAGATACGTAAGTTCTTTAATCATCTTTAAATCAGGCTTTTGAATGTTGTACGAGTTCCTTCTATATTCTGGTTACTATACCTTACCAGATACAAGATTTGCAAATAGTGTTTTCCATTCTAGGGGTGTCTTTTCACTTCATTGTATCCTTTACACAAAGTTTTTAATACTGATATAGACAAATTTCTCTTTTTTCTTTTGGTGTCTGTGTTTTGGCTATTATAGCCAAGAAATCATTGATAAACTCAATGTCATGAGTATTTCCCCCTGTTTTGTTCCCCTAGTTTTAAAGTTTTCAATTTCACAGTTTTTAAATCCGTTTTGAGTTAAGTTTTGTGCATGGTGTAAGGTAAAGATCTAACACAATTCTTTGACACATGGATATGTAGTTTTCCCATTTGTTATATAGATTGACCTTTGCCACATTGAAGATTTTTGCAGATTTCTAAAGATCATTTATTAGGACTTAACCTGGAGTGTTTGAATGATAGATCTTAAACGTTTGAATTATAAATCTTGAGCATTTGTGGCCTGTCGCATTTTGGGTGAACACTGCCAGAACCAGTTTCCTAAATGCTTTATTTTAAGGATGTCTCTGCTTAAAAGAGCATCTACTAAAAATAATTTCTGTATCTCTCTCTCTGTGCGAGCATACTGGCATCTCTCTCTCTCTCTCTCTCTCTCTGTGTGTGTGTGTGGTTTTTCCAAACTCGTATCTCTTAAAACCTTTATTGCACTCATTACATTTGACACTTCCCACTTGAAGTTGTTAAGGCTTTTTGCATGTAAGTATTTTTGATTTAATGAGATAAAAAGCTCTGGATGCCTAAACTCTAATAAATACTGTGAAACAGGCAGAGAAGTCTTGTAAAAAAGAAAGTCCTAAACTGATTGACTGAACAAAGCCTTTTGTGTGGCATAATCAAAGGTTATGCGGTGTTTGGAGACAGAGCATGTGTTAAATCCAATTAAGTTGAAGAAAGATGCTACTTAATTTTCATAGTAGTTAACAAAGCTTAGACTAAAATGATGAATACTCCTTTTATGAAATTTAAGCATTGTATGCATCATGCATAGAATTGTGTTGGGATGTTTTCTATAATGCCAAGAAGTCATTGGAGCTAACAATAGTAACTTGGTTGTGCTGACAGATACTGGAGAAACTGGCTTAAATTCATAATCGTTATTTTCATTTCAATTACTGCCCTGGCTACAGCTACTGGACATGAAATTTCACAAGAGACTAACAGACAAGAGGTGCCATTCATAGTTCCAGAAGTAGAGTGCATAGGTCCACTTGTGAATGATCAGTTATTTAGCAAAACTGTAAGAGGTTCATTGAAATAATTGCAGATACAACTAGTCTTGTTTCCATAGAAACAATGCATTTCATGTGGAAAGGTTCAGGAATCTTGTTTATATTCCTCTTGGGGACAAATATTCTGAAATTGGCTCTTTCCTCCCTGTCACTGAGTACTAATAGAGGGAACATCCTGCTTTCCAGAGAGTGTTAACTCCTGCTCGGAGGTCTGCCCACTCCGCAGTCTCATTACTAGTCTTGCTCTGTTCTGTTGCAGCCCCAGAAAGGGAAGCTGGATTTCTTTAATGCCAAATACGCCAATTTAACCTTTGATACACACTATTAGATATCAAAACTTTTGATTATATAAATTTTATGCCCTCATAGTTGAAACAGTAATTCAGACTTACTAAAATTTTAATCTTTTCTGAGTTACAGAATTTTGACTCTAATAGGTGTGCATAGTTGTCTTTAATAGTAAATAATACTAATAAATAATACTAATAAGCAGAACTTCTTGTTTGTCTTTGATATATGAACCCACCAGAGCTTGGCTGCGGAGTTGCTTTTCTTTGAAATGATAGCAAGACAGCCATGTGATAGATAAATTACTGAGTACATCACTGGGTGCTGCTCATCTCTTGTGTTTGGCTTTATAGCAAAATTTTAACATTAAATTACTTGTACAATGTCTTATATTTTATCTCATGTCTTTGAAATAAAATCAGCTTAACTTGTGCTGTCAAAAATCTTTATAGCCATCTATCACTGGCAATTTGCAATGTATAACTGTCCTATTCTCCTAGAACTTAATAAATATAAGGAAGGATCTCTTATCCGTTGAAAATTTTAAAAAGACAGAATTTGAATTTTAACCACAAGACAAATCCCAAAGAAAAATCCACTAGTAGATGTTTCCAACATATCCTTGAGATGTTAGTGCATGAGTCATTGGACAATCAGCAGTGCTCTCCTTTCTGTCTTTCTCTGACTCAGAGTATTAACATGTATGTATTTTTCTCCACAGTAAAACCGACCGTAATTGATGTGGACATTTATGTTAACAGCATTGGTCCTGTGTCATCCATAAACATGGTAAGAAGCTATTTTATTTTCTGCTCTGATGGTTGGTGAACTTGTTCTTGTTTACATTTTCCTTGTGGATTTCATTCTGAGATTTATCATGCAGGTTTAAAAACTAAAAATTGACTTCATAAATCTGTGGCTTTTATTGGTAATTTAGATATTGCAAATGTTAAAAAAAATCAGGAAACAGAGCTGTGATACTAGCAGTGAGATATTGCTCAATTAATAAGTGTCCCTACCCTCACCCACGTTTTCCACATGGGTTCATAGTACATAGATTGTCAAATGAGAGTCTTTGCAATTATGCAGTCATTAGTTGTATCATACCTCATTAACATTAGGGATGAAGATAAATGATGGATTTGTTTTTACTTTTAGTTCCTTTTCCAATCCTTTCAGTGTTTCTCGGGAAAGGATTCAAGATCACGCAGCTTATACTTTTGTCTTCAGTTTGTACTCTGGATACATAAACTACCATTTATTTTCTATAGGAGAAAGTACGGTATAAAATTTGTGTGTGGTCCGTATAGAGTGTTTCTTTACTTATAAGTAAATTGAATTCAACAACTATTTAGGGTAAAGGAAGGCCTTCTCCATTTGAAAACAAAAGTGAGTAGCTTATAAGCAGGTGTTGTCCTGTGGGGATATGCTAGGGTCTGAGCTTTCTGTCATGGTCTGCAGCCCACAGTACACCTGTGGTGAGGTGTGATAGGATTCCCCAGGGATCTTTGCAGTTCAGCCCTGATGTTGTCAGGAATACCTGTACCCAGGTACCTCTCCTGTGCTGCTTTTTTTATGCCTGGATTTGGGAAACATGTGAGTTTGAGGGTAGAGAATTGCCAAAAAGCTGAGTTCTATGTCTTCTTTCCATTGCAGTGTTCTGTGGATGGAAATAACCCCTCCAAAGTTAGCAAAATCATTTCCTTTCATTGCCAGATTTTCAAAGTGTTCTTCCTTTCTCATGATATAAGGGCTCCATGCAGAGCAAAATTACATTTATGGGTGACTCTCTTGAAAAATATTCCATGTTCTCCATAAACTAGAGCAAACAGGTAAAATGTATAGAAGATAATTATGTCACACAATTTATGTGCTATAGATTGTAGTGTTTTAAAATCAAATTATAAGTGTGATGTTTGTTTTTCAGTTGACTGAACAGGATAATCATTTCTTATTGTATATATTTTCTTGTTCTAAAGTTTTGTTTGCTTACATTTATTCTACACCTTTATGTATAATACTAATTTAACATGGAAAGAAAAAGTATCTCCGTAGATGTACAGAGAATAAGGGATATTCAAAAAGTTTGTGGAAAATGTACATTATCTTTTAATTCTGTTTTCCCACAAGCCTTTTGAAATTCCCTCACATGGTCGCACAATTATTTTAAGAACAGTTGTTTCTATTTAGGTATTTAGGAAATTATATGAACTCCTGTAACTTTGAGATCTAATTTGTGTCCAAAATCAGATGTAGCTTTTGGAGTTTATGGGAATTTGTGCATGGAAGACACAGGCCGTGGAGCAAGCTAAGCAGGAGACTCATCACAAGTGAAAGAGACACTAAAGGCAGACACTCTCCCTGGCAAAGTTGGCAAGAAAGGAATGGGTTTTTCCAGTTGGGTTATCTTAATCTGAAACTTGACTGCTAGGTCGGAGTTTGCCAGGTGGGACAATGTGGGAAGAACCCTTCTGTACCAATGAAGGTCTAGGGGGTGGCTGTACCCAGTAGAACCTGGTACCTGGAGGAACAGCGATGCAGGCCCTAAGGCCTTGATAGAGAACTGAGCTTATTCCTTAAATTTGTTAAAAACAGATTCCTGCATTTGCAAAACATGAAAACTACTTCCCTTTGAATATGTGCAGGGTCTATTTCATGAGGTTAATTCAAATACTGTAAGCTCTGTATTCACCCCTCTTCCTATTTTTTTTGTTGTTCTAAGATTGCTTTGCTATTTGGGGTCTCTGTGTTTCCATTTGAATTTTAGCATAATTTTTTCTAGATCTGAGAATAATGTTGTTGGTATTTGATTGGGATTGCATTGAATTGCTTTTGGTATTATGGACATTTTGAGGATGGTTCTTCCAATCTGCAAACCTGGAAGATTTTTCTACTTTTTTATGTCTTCTATTTCTTTAATATTTTGTAATATTCATCATAGAGATATTTGATATACTTGGTTAAATTTATTCCAAAGTATTTTAATTTTTATAGCTATTGTGAATGGGATTGATTTTAGAAGTTTTTTCTTAGCTATGGCGTTGTCTGTGTATACAAAGGCTATAGATGTTTGTGTGTTGATTTGTGTGTGTGTGTGTGTGTGTGTGTCGATTTTCTATCCTGCTACTTTACCAAACTCTTCTATATGCTCCAATAGTCTCTTCATGGAGTCTTTTGGGTTCCCTATATATAGAACAGTTACTTCTGCTCTGAGCTGCTCTAGGCAACCAAGGGGCTCTGAGAGTGAACTGCACACTCTGTGATTGCCCGGAACCCAGGTACACCCTTTCTCCTCTCACACAGTCACTGTGTTTTCTTAGTCTCAGCTTCCAGGGCTGTCATGGTCAAGGAGTGCAAGTGGATCCACTCCCCACTGCTGCAGGGGGACTGAGGTGCTCCCAGGGCTGCTGTCCATATGTGTTCTAACCTGCTGGATTGAGTCCTAGCCTTCCAACCAGATTTGATTCCAGTGGGGAACATAGGTTTTTCTCTGTGGTAAGATCTCTGGATCACAGGTGCACACAATACCCACAGCCGCAGCCCTGCTCACTTTACAGTTGTGCTGGGTGCATAGGAGAGTCCCACAGGCAGCACTTCCCTTCCACAGGGATGGCTCCCCTTTCCCTCCTGTTGCTGTGTGGGTGCAGTTGGCTTGGTGGAGACCATCTAACTCAATTGCTCTTGCTCTGCTGTGGGTGCCCCCACTGACTGGGTGGAGGGTGACCCCAACAGTTGCTGGATGTAAGCATACAAGCTGGGACCCGCTACCTACCTATGTCCAAAAATGGCACCAGCCCTCCCACTTCTGGCTGTAGGTCCCTGTTGTAGGAGGGAGGAGGGGAGAGAGAGAGAAGTGCTGCTTCCACCCCATCGCTCCCCTCTCGCGAGCAATAGCCACACTGTCCTGAGGGATCCCTGCTGTACTCAAAAAGGTGCAGTTCACTAAACTCTCCCTCCTACTGTATCAACAGTGGCGGAGTCCCATAGAGTCTGTTCTCACCTGGTTTGCCAGGGCTGGTTCCTTCTTTCCTGGATCCAAGCTTCTAGGTCTTCCACTGTCTCCCTGTATTTTATTGCATGTCTGTGCTTTGCACACAGGTTCAGGCTGTCTCTTCTGCTTTTTCAGGATTTCCCACTGTAGTTTCCCCTGCAGCTTTACCATGAGAGTGTACTTTTTCCACCTTTTTATATTAATTTTGCCCTACATAAATCAGACTGCCCTGTCCCTATTCCACCATCTTGGAACCTCCCCTCTTCCTTTTAAAGAAAAAGAAGTAGATGCTCCTTGGAACCTCCCCTCTTCCTTTTAAAGAAAAAGAAGTAGATGCTCCTTGACTTATGATGGGTTACATCCTGATCAACCCATTGTAAATTGAAAATACAATATGAAATATAAAAATATGTAATAAACCTAACCTACAAAATATCATAGCTCAGGTCATCCTACCTTAACTGTGCTCAGAACACTTATATAGCCTACAGTAGGGCAAAATCATCAAATGCATGCCTATTTTATAATGCAGTATTGAATGTGTCATGTAATTTTTTGAATACTCTACTGTGAGGGAAAACAGAATGCTTGTTCTATTCTCTTTTACACTATTGTCAAGTCAGAAAAGTAAGTCAACCATTGTAAACCAGGAACTGTCTGTGGCTGATGATAGAAAGCTGACATTTGTACTTTAAAATCATGAACTCTGCCGCTTCTGTACAGGGGTAAGGAATGACTGTAATCAAATTGACCTGAGGCATTATAGGCCCTCCATCACCAAGAAAAATACATAAGTTTCAGTATAAAATACATCCCGATACAGACACAAGTTACTGATGTTAGATTTTGGAGTAGAACATCTTTTTTTTTTTTTTTTTTTTTTTTTTTTTTTTTTTTTTTTTTTTAATTAACCTCAGTTTTAAGAAGTATTCTCAATGTCTTCAAATTTCATTTAGTCAAAATTATTTTCTTCTTAGAATGTATCTCTCCTGTAATGAAGGGTGGGCCGATAAATGTGGCGCCTATTTGTGAGGCTGAAGCAGCCATCTGGGCAACAACAGACAAGCTAAAGGACAGCAAATGCTTCTCTCTGCATATGGTGACATATTTACAGTCAGTTCTCAGCACAGCTAAAGTTGTCCAGGCCATGTCTAATTGCACGAGGAAGAAATAATATACACTAATCTATCATAGAGAGTAGGTAAGGGTTTATTTAAAAACTACATACTCATACGCAAACACGCACATGCAAATTTCTGTCTGTCTCTCTTTGCTTATTCATTAAACATTTGCACACAATTGCTGTGACTGTGTCAGCCACTGTGCTGGGTGCAGATAAGACAGGTGAATCAAATGCTAATCTGGGGGAAGCAAGTTCCATAAATGAAGTGGATGTTGGAGTGAATGAAGTTAGATTCAGTGGTGAGCAACCCAGAGGAGGGAATGTCTGGCTGACCCATGAGAGGTTTCCAAGGCTTCCTGAGGATGGGCTTCCAAGTTACATCCTGGAAAATGAGTATTTCTTCCCTTTGCACCCAGAAAACACTCTACGTGGAAGTCATATATGACTGAAATACCATATTTACCCTCACATCTGCCGAAACCAGTTTTGAAAGAATGTGAAGTACTTAAAAAGTGCAACATGGACCTTACAAAAAATAAAAACAACTTAAAACTAGAGAAGTCACTGTGAAAGTGGGTTATCAAGGAGTGAATCAGCAATAAAAATGGAAAAGCCTGAGAGATTAAAACAATCAAATTAAAAAATATAGATTGAGTACCCTTCATCCAAAATTCT